AATCTTCTTTTAAGGTTATACTTTTACACTTGGAAGTTTATTCAGTCTTCCTCGTGTTTAGGGGATCTTCGTAAAAAGGGTTTTGAAATACCTCTCATCTTATGTCCCTCATGCGTATTATATTTGGTGAATCTTTCTGGTTGACAAATAAGCATTTTGAGAAGCCTAGATGTTGACTTAACTTATTTATATCATCATTGAAGTTATTGTTTTGCAATCCTTTTTATTCTCCGAAGTGGCGGTGTAATGGCACCTACGTTCTCTTTCCTCTTCTATGCCGAAGGCTTAGTTCCAAGGAAACTAGTATTGTTCTATTTCTTGTCTCGTGTTCCATCCATCTTGGTTATTGCATACTTTATAGAAATCTAAAAGTAAAAAAACAAAAGTCAAAACCTGAGTAAGGTATACCTCCAGGATATGTCTTTTCTTGGGTTCTGCATATTGATACAATTAATGGAGCATGCTTTACTTTTCAATGCAGTTTCGGTTTATGTTTTTTCTTAACTTATTGCTGTCTGTGTTTCTTATTAGCGATGGTTTGTTTCCTGCTGAAGCTACTTGTGACTGCTTTGTCTGAAATATGAATTTTGGTTGTGTTTTCCTTTTTTGGGATTTCTGCTATATTATTATGGCTTCTTTTAGGACATTAAATTAACGGAGTCATGTGTGCACATGCAGAGGTTCAGAAATTTGGGGAGATTGGGAAGGAAACTTTGTCAACGGATTCTAATAGTGGTGGTATACCTGCCGATATCTATTCAAGTGATCCAGGAAACAATGAATCTAACTTATCTGACCATTTGGATTCTGATAAGATTAGACAAACTTCTTCTAAGTCCTTGGAATCTCAGGTCTTGAGTTTGAAACAAAATGTGAAGCTTTTGGAAAGCAAACTGGATGAGACAAGAGCTATATTGGAGTTGAAGGAGTCCAGGGTTGCTGAACTCGAAGATATGATTAACATTAGCAAGTCTGCAAAAGAAGATTCAGGTAGTACTGTAGGTTTAGAGGAGGAAAAAAGTCGAGAGCTAGAGACTGAACTTGACAGCGTGTTTAGGCAAATGATTGAAGCCCAGGTCGAGTTTATTGCTATTAAAAGTTCCACACAGAGGTTGAAGTTTGCTGCAGGTGGCCAAATCGCACTGCTTGACGAGCAAGAAGCAGTAGCTGGAGAACAAGCACAGATGCTGAACAAGCTTGGAGAAGTAGAAATTAGAGCCACAAAGCTAAAGGAACGAACGGAGGAGTTGGGAAAATTATCCGGAGATATTTTAGAGACCGGAGAGGTCTTCACCATCCAGAAGAGATTTTGTAAGATTACTTCATGTCTTTTTATTCAGTTGGTATTGCTGGGCTTGGCGATCTTGGTTTTTTTCTCGCAGTCGTCCCATGAAGGGGTGGCTGTACCCACCTGAGTCCGAGAGTAGCAACGCCATTTTGTTTTTGTGTATTCTCAACCTCCTTAGGCAATATTGGAAGGTTAAGTTTGATCTTTTATCATGTAGAACCTGTTTTTTTCCTCTCTGTTTTCGTTTTTTTGTAACATTGTTGTAATTTTTGTTTTCATAGGAACAGAAGCATCTCAAAATGATTGCTTATAGCGTTCTATACTTTTCCATGACTGTAATTTTTGCGTGTTCGATTTGGTTTGGCGGATAGTTTTATGAGTCGAAACTTAAGGAACATCGAGTCACTTGTAATGGATGTACCTTGACGATGTTTAAGACGTAATTAAGGTTTTCTCGCACGTAGCTTAGAGGTCTCGTGTGTTTTGCACAAGCATGTGTGGTTTTATAGCTGTGTAGAACGATCTACCGTCGAAAATTGCTCGTATATCAAACGGTCCAGTTGTTTGTAGATGCATTGGTTTTTGTTTTGGTATAGGTAAAATCCATAAAAATATGAAGTGACTGAAATCGAAGGAGAAACCCAGAGCCATCTCGCTCTTCCTTATTTAATTTTGTCTGTTGTAGTCGTTTTTATAACTAATAAATTAGACACCAAGATAAAGAGAGGTCAGTGAACCACGACAAGTGGTTTAAAAGAAAAGTGCGAATGGTAGCTTCCTAAAGGGAAGACCTAACGGAAGATTATAGGTTTGATACTTTGTACACTGTGAATCTGCTTGATAGTGCTCATGAGCAGGGTGCAATTCAAATTAGCCCCCTTGAGGCCCAAAAGATGTAGATACTTGTGGTTCGACACTAGTTGTCTCATTTTTTAGAAAAAAAAGAAGATAAATGAGTATAGTGACAATATTATATCTTCTCACTATTAATGACAATTTTGAATCCACCAAAAATACGTAATAACATTCTCACTATTATTTTCAATACAAGCGTTAATCGAGAAAAGAGAATCGAGCTCTGGATCTTAGAAATGTCCATGCTCCCCGCAGGATTAGCAAATCAAGCTAGGCAAAGGCAAATGTGGGGTTTCCTTTTGGTTGCATCATTGGGCTCCACCATCGACATCAACTAACGATTCTCCAACTGACACTGGTAGTTGCTGCTAAGATACCATTTACAATTCCTCGACCATCTCACTGGATTCTACATAGAAATTCAAAGTCATGGCAAAGACTTTCTTAGGTTTACTAACCAGCGAAAATTGTATGCTTTTTTGTACAAGATACACATGGTCGTCAAATTTTGTTCATCGAAATTTTGACTAAAAATTTAACAGTAAAAAACTTTATACACCGAAGTATATTAGAAATTTCTTATTGCTCATAGGCAAATTGAAATTGAAAGAAAAGTGACAGTGATATATAACACATGTGACAGGTAAAAATGCTTGATTAGATTTAGAAGTTTTGAAGGACACAAATTCCGTAGTTGGTCTCCATTGTATCGACCATGGCCGCGTCAAATCCAGTGCTACTATTAAGCATCAATTACCTTTCTACCATATTGAGAGGATGGAGCATTAATGGGTCTTTTATTATTAAGAAAAAATGATTAACTTGAACTTCTTTAAAAAATGGTGTCGTTTGCTGAAAAAATATAGGTTTTTCTTTTAGTGATCTTGAACCAGAATCGAGTGATAAAGTTGCACTAGAGAGATGTTGATGTTTAACTTTTCTTAAACTCTTTTGTTTTCAACGCAAACAAACCAAGAGGGTACACGTGCCCCTCCTGGCCCTTCATCAAATTAATTCGCCCCTGATGTGCATGAAACAGAATTTTAGCATTAAACAGATAAACTTGTAATTAACAATTAATCCAGAGTTAATGAAATAAGCATATGTGTATGAGTGTATCCTAGAACCAAGGCCATAAAGGCACGAAAGCGTTTGGGACATTGGTAGGGTACTGCATGTTTGGCAGTTAAGAAAATGGCATGAGAAAGGTGCCAATGGATATAAAAGTAAAAAATGATTGTCTAGAAAGTTTGAGGTCACGAGAAATTGCCAAGAAAACGGTTGAATCATATCCCTTCTATTTTCTTCTATGCCAAATGCAAAGCATCCATCATTCAACGCAAATGCATTATGAGTACCACACACACACACAAGTAACTAGCTATGAAATTTACCATTTTTTTGCGAGACAAATGTTTATATGTTTTACAATGAATCTAGACGATAAAATTTGACTAAAGTCAGTCCAATCAATGATTTAAATTTATAGTAAGTGAACATTTGTAGCATTGTATTTTGCGGGAATGTTTGGCGAGAGAATTTTCGGGGTGTGATGACATAAAACTTAGGAAATATATACAATGCTAATGTGAAAAATAAAAGTTACCATAAACTTTCATGCACAACACAACTAATATACCAATACCTTTGCAAACTAAATAATGTTATTCTCACACTAATTTTTTCCTCCCATAGTACTCTTGTTAATATTTTACCTTTAATCTTCTTTAATTCATTTGACCCAACGATCAAAAATTGATAAAGGTATTTAAGAAGTAAAAATAAGTGTAAATAGCACCACCCTAACTGAATCTAGACACTTGACTTAATCTGTTGTCTTATTCTTTTGCTAACCTGGTCACAAAGTGAGAAGAGATGGTAAAAGCTTAAGCTGGAGAGGAATTAAGAATTGTGTGCTTAAAATAACCAATGTTTAAACACCTTTGATGATATTGCAATTAAATTAGATGATTTGGAAACAATTCTACATCTCTATCAGTAGTTCAGTACACACCTTTTCAAAAGGGACCCCACAAGAAGTTGGACAGGGATTCTATGCCCTTCCACTTTTGATGCATTTTTATTTGTGTGATCACGATTAAGCCACGTCAACATTTTATATTACTATTTATTTTTGTCTTATTATCTCTATAAAAAAAATAATATAAAATGTTGACGTGGCTTAACCGTGACCACACAAAATAGGAAGGTACGGGAGGACACCAAACGTAAAAGGGCAAACAATTCTTGTCCCAAGAAGTTTAGATAGCACCATCCAGAAAAAAAAAAAGTTTGATCCTTGCAAATTGGGTTGATGGAGAAAAGCTCCTAAGGGGAGAGAAGTCTCTAGACCTTTTTTTTTTTTTTTTTTTCAGAAAAATGTCTCCTTTGTTTTGTGGCCTCCACTACATAGTGTTATATGTTATTAGCATCACATCACCAATGAACAAATCATAATCAATTGCAAACATGTACACATAATAAGAAACTTAAGAAAGGAATTGCATTTGACATAAACTGGTAAATTTTCTATAAAAATTAGAAAAAATTAGATTGAATATGTTTGAGAGATTCAATACTTTTAAAATAATTATATGCAAGGAAAGATTTCAAATCCGTTTGTTTCTACCCTGATCTTCTATTTTAAATCTTGGCAATATATGTCATGTAATAGTCTAAATAAACAATCTAACCGTATAATAATGTCATGTAAATCCCGTAAATTTGATATCACTATGGGGAAAGAGCACTTACATTTGAAATTTGAGTACCAAAAGACTTTTCAAACTTAAACTTAAGGAACCAAACAATTTAACTCTAACAAGAAAATTAATGAAAGAGAAAGTAGGGAAACTAATTTAACCAAAAAGAAACACTGTATATATGCACAAGTCCTGCAGATTCTTTGCATCATCTTCCTCCCCAAAGTAAAAACACTAGCTATAGTACCATTTGGAAATTGGAAGTCTCCTTCCACTAAAGCAAAATCCTTGAGAGGACCATATCATCATGCTTTTACATGAAAAGAATTAACCCAAAATGACAATGGCAATGGACCCCACTTTGATCAAACTGGAAAGAGCAGTAGGGTTTCTAAGACTAAAAAACAAAATCTAACTGAACTATCAGATAGCCAGAGACTGAGAGAAGAAGAAAAAAAACCTCAGCTTCTTCAGCTGGCTGGCTAATTAGTAACTGAATTGTAAGAAGAAGGTGCACATCTAGCTGCTGCAGCGCCACCATACTGATAACCTGCACCCTCACCTTGCTGGTCATCCTCCTCAATTGGTGGAAGCTCGTTTAGGTCAAAGTCCAAAACTCTTCTCGCACCACCGACACCTGCAATATTCTGACTGGACTGAGCTTGCAGCTGTTGCTGTAGCTGCTCAGGGGGACCCCCCACCACCTGCTGCTGCTGCTGCTGCTCAGGGGGGCCATTCCAGTGGCTCCTCTTGTGACCCCCCAAAGCCTGACCTGTTGGGAAGGTCTTGTTGCAGATTTTACACTGGTGGTGCTGCTGATGATTTAGTGCTACTCTTTCTGCTTCATCATCATGCACCCTATCTTCACCGGCCGACACGTCAGCGGGTGCAGACTGGTTCTCCATAGATGGGTGGGCCACCGCGATCCCCTTGAGCTTGTTGTGGCTTGACATGTGTCCTCCCAGAGCTTGGTGGCTAGGGAAACACTTCACACAGAGATTGCACTTGTACCTCAGCCTTCCTTCCAAGTCCACCAACTTCATCTTCCTCCTGTTCCTCCTCATCACCGCAATGCTCTCAGAATTCTGACTGTCTGATAACTCATCCTCCGTATTATTATGATTTCCCATATTTTCCTCCTCCATCAATCCAAGCTTCAAGAAATTCTTCACCGTTGACTTTTCTTGACCAAAACCCCCACCATATTCATCATACCATTTTTTCTCACTCCTCTTCACCTCAAATGGTGATCCCTTCCTCTTGTTTGTGGATCCCACGGTGGCGGTTGCAGTGTACCCATGGCATGGAAGTGCTCCCTCTCCGTCCTGATTGGCAGTGATCAAGAAATTGCTGTTGGTGGCCTCACACCTGGTGTCATCAGCTCCTCCTCCTTCCAGTGGATTGGCCTGAGCTAGCAACAAAAGATCATGGACAGCTTCCTTCATCTGCTCTTCATCTTCTTCAATAGTCCTGGGACTTCTCGAATCCAAACCGGAGACGGACTGGTCAGAGTTGGACTCTAGTCCAGTGCTGCCGCTCTTCCTCCCTCTCCTTGCGGTTTGAGACCATTTAGGCAGAGTCTTGGAGAGATCAAGAACCAAACTTTTTGACCCGAAAAACATCTCATCAGAGTCAATCTGACCATCATGAGCTTTATTATCACTCTGATCAGGCACATCATCTGACAGAGTGGAGGAAGAGCTGTTTTTGGCGGCCGGAGGCGGCTGAATTCCCCTCCATTCTCTCTCTGGATGCGACCTCATATGCCCAAAAAGTGACTTCATCGACGGAAAATTCTTGCCGCAAACGCAACAAACAGGCTTCATATTGCTGATGCTATTGCTATTACCTCCAATCCCAACAACACCACCGGCATTCGAGCTTCCAACATCGGAATTATTAGGTTTCGAAATCTTGGCTTTTGATGAAATCATGTTCTTGCGAGACTGATTAAACAATTCCCTGTCAGCTTGAATATGTATTCTCAAGTGGCCTCCGAGAGCCTTACCTGAGCTGAAACCCTTGCCGCAGACCTCGCAGAATCTGGTGAATTGAGGCTGTGGAGCAGCGGAGGAGTTTTGCGGGTTTTGGTCTAAAGGTTCCGGCTTTGGAACCTTGAGCTTCGGAAACAGTCCTCCGTTGTTGTTCTCCATCTCTTCCCGGCTCGGTTTCTTTGCGGGCGTTGGCTCTTGATAGCAGGCAGCTAGTGGCGGAAACCTAGTTTCTTTGTGTTGGATATCCATATGTGAGGAAAAAAAAAAAAAAAACCCAGCTCGGAGATTTAAAGATTGTGTGAAACCGCAACTAGGGAGGGTTGTAAAGATCAAGCTCTTTAGGTTTTCTTTTTTTTGGTGCTTGGGGAATAAACAAGGAAAGAAAGAAGCTGAACCTAAACAGCAGATATGAGTATGCGGAACCCTACTAGGAGATTGAGAATATATATTTATACATGTATAAATAATTATATATGTAAATAAATATGTGAAAAAAGGGTAGCTTAGCTGAGAAGCAAAATTAGGCTACTTTGATCGTAATCTCGTTTTGGGTAATTATAAGTCCTGAAAATCCTGACCTCCCTAATCAAGAACGCTAAGAGGGGAAAGAAAACAAGGAAACTCTGTGGCATCCAGCTAATGATGTCATCAGATTGCAGCTAAAAAAAGGATTATATTAGAAAATAGCTAAGGAAAGGAGCCAAGAACAAACCCAGAAGAGCTAGAGAGAGAGAGAGAGAGAGAGAGAGAGAGAGAGAGAGAGAGGGAGCTTTCCAAATTCTGCAGCAGTTGGGCAGTCTTTGGTCTTTTAAGTCACCAAATTGTTATTTTTATAAACATAATTAGTTTATTTTTTCATAATTAATGTTATTATTGTGCGTTTAACTGCTGTTTGCGTGAGTTTTGGATAGTGGGGAATTGACTGTCAAAGCCTGTTAATCCGTTTTTTTTCAGAATCTCCAAATTCTCATAAAATTTTGAGTAAGAGGGAGAGAATTATCACAAGTTGAAAACCAAAAAGAGAAATGCTAAATGAATTCTCTTACCGCTATGACTCTTCAAAAATTCTATGTTATCTCATGCTTCTGACACAATATTTTTATAATATTAACATAAAAATTAACGTTAAACTGTACGATAACAGATGAGTCTCAGTTTGGAGAGAATTCCTTTAGCATTTCTCAACTATAAAACCTACTTCAATCAAGGAATTAGAATCCATCCATACATAGTACAGTTCAGTGTGAAGCGTGCCACTTTCTTCTATCCCACTACGACTATTTAGGAGCCCCACTTACCACACTAACCATACCTGCCCCAAAGAGTAAGGCTTTATGAATTTCCTCCTTCTAATTTCTTTTTTCTTATTTTTTCCTTGAATTTTAATTTTAATTTTGATTTTCCTTCGAAGATACTCCAAGGCCAATCATCCGGAATTCTCTCGGATTTCACAAAAAATTAGGATACAAATCTTTTCTTTGTAATATTCCTCCATCCCAAAAATTAGGTTTGTTTTCTTCTTATTTTCCTTGTATTTCTATGAAATTTGACAATACTTCGATGTGCCTTAATACACCAAATTTTTGCTTGTTACAACATCGATTGTTAAATATTTAATCAATAACATATCGACTAAAAATCTCGGTACACAAGATATTCCGCAGCATATTAGGATTTTTTCTTCTTTCTATTTGGAATGAAATCCCAACAGGATAAGAAAGGGCAAGAAGCCTAGCAAAGCGGGAACTCTTGGATTAATTAGTTTCAAAATCCGTGCTTATCTCCATCCTTTACGTTAATGCATGTCATAATTATCTCTTTTAATCCTCTCTTATGTGAATTTTCACACCTCACACCACCATTCACCACTCACCACACACACGACCAGAGTCCATTAGTCTCTAAACAAGAAATTAATTACAGGAGCAAATTTTGCAATTTATTTCCTTTTCCACGCGGTTTCAAACCTTTGAATGGCCTCCATGTTTATGGAAAGCTTGGGAGGCAAATGTTTAGAAAGAGCTAAATTTTATGAGTGTGAGCAAGGATTTTGAATTGGGTCACATCCACAACTTATGATCTTAAACTCTTTACTTAATGCTTTGACGAAGAAAATGTGTCAAAGAAAGTTCGTTAGTTGTACAATGTTAGAGGTTACGAGCTCTAGTAGTTCGATTCACATCATTGTTAAAACGATATATCTCTACTAATTAATAAAACACTCATTGTCAATCAAAATCTATGAAATTATTAGTTTAACCCTTTAATTAAAACAGAAAATGAATAAGAAATATGAGGATAGAAATGTAATTTCACACAATCAAATTTTGCTTCTTTTTTTTTTATCAAAGCCTCACCTACATATAATCCTAACATATCTCTAATTAAAAAAAAAATTAAATAAATAAAAACTTCCCACCCCCACATTCTCTATCACTCTCTTCCTCTCTCCTTCTATTTCAAAAACAAAAATAAAAAAATTTCTCACATACTTTATGTGTACCCATATGCTAGTATTTATGATGATTATGATATCGAAGTTGGACTAACTTGTTGTGATGACAGTAGTTCTCGCTAATTGTTCTAATACTCTAATGCTCCAATGCTCACTTCACATTGGCTATTTAGCAGGAGTTCCTGCTAATTGTTCAGCAACCAAGAAAGGTTCTTTTTGAGTGTACGTGATTATGCATAAATATAACGTTATTCGCTATTTGAGTATTTCTTTCTTAAATGTACTCTTAGTGTTAGTTGTGGTGAACAACTCTTTAGAAAAAAAATTAAGAAAATCATTCAAGTTCGTCTACTTTCGATTGAAAAATAGAATCATAAAAAAAAAAAAAATATATCAATCTTATGTGTGTTTACACGACCAATCTACTCAATTACTATAACGAGTTCCATCTTACGTAACAACAGCCGCGCTTGCTTCGTGGATGTCACCTTGTTTTCTTGTAGTGCCTGTTCAAGTTAATTCAGTTCACATTCAGAATATTTTTATAGGGGAGTTGAAATTTATACTAGACTTACTATGCAAAGTGGAAAAAGCAAGTGTGTATGCATGCCAACCAAGTTTATGATGGCCTTCAGTAACAATGAAAATAGCAGCGTTTGGTTGTAGTGATCTGCGTACATCTTGTGTTGTAAACATTGTATAATTTTCAAATATCCTACCACTTGTATTATGATACGGTATACCAAACCGTGTTCTCGACGTACTAAACAATCTCTCCTTCCATACAACTATTTAATATCACCTGTGCTTTCTATGTGATTTATTCAATCAGATTGTCATAAATTTTAGACTGCGGTTCCGGGAATTACTATTGTAACATTGGAATACCAAGAAATATCAAAAATTGTTACTGCAGTAAAATCCTACTAATCCGAAAAGAAGGCAAATTCAACACATTTTACACAGCTGCCCCCTTTCACCCCTTCCGCGATTCTTTTCCGCGGATGGGGCACGCTGAGGGGTAACCATAGCAAAGCAAAATGAAAACCGAAAAGGAGGTTAAATGCCGGCAACAACGACGACTACTACTAGCCTACTACTACAACAAGGCATACAACAGAGGAAAATGATGCCTACGAAACAAGTTGCCTATGTAACGAACAAGGAGGCTATTGCTGTGGATGATTGTAGGAAGATTTATATTCCAGCATTTCGGTCCTGTATCTCTCCTTGTCTTTCGTCCCTTTATCCTGATAAACCTGCACGGAAGAAATGGTGTGTTATGATGAAGATTTCACAAAGATTTCCAACATACCGCAAGTTAGAAATGTATAGAATCAAGACGAAAGGAAACGGAAATAGTAAAAATCAACGCATGTGAAGCTTCTCCTCGAACCTTAGATCGATACTACCTATGCACGTCACAAAATCATCCAGAACACACATATAAGAGTGACATTATCTTGGGACGTTATGAGCAAAAAAGGACTAACCGGAAATAAAATTGAGTCACCAATTCACTATACCTGTTTCTCAGCCTCTGTGAGATTGTTCCATAGGTACCCAATTTTCTTGCTGATGGCTCTCTCTTGCCCATAGTACAAAGGCTTTAATCTAGCATAATGCTCGGCGAAGAAGAAATTGTAACCGCTCCTGTTTGACTTGGGCCGAGAGGGATCGCGTAATGCCAACCTGGATCTCTTTCGGTTCCGTCGAGTAGGCATGTCCGAAAAACTCTGAGAAACATATGTAGCTGTAGGAGCATGATACAAGACACCTTTCAGTTCGTCAGAACCCAAGTTGACAGTAACCAGATATCCACTATCAAATTTCCCATCAATGGTTCCCATGATTGAAGAGCCAAGCTGCACTTCTGCACTTTCTGTACATAAGATAGAGAAAACAGATCCATATCGCAATTAATTCATCGCCTTACAGATCAAATAACCAGATGCTATAAATAAGGTCAGAGGATCTAGGAAATGATGGTACCGAATTAGAAAGACAAAACTAAATTCTCATAGCAAGTCATCCAACTTTAAGAAGTTACCGAACTATTTCATACGATTTCTTCTGAGAACTGTCAATTGGAGGTCCATTCTATCGATTGTAAATAAAAGGTTTTCTGGAAACTCACAGTTTAATGTAGACACCAAGGAGAAAATATACACATAGTTATATGATTCTACTTCTAGAACTAGTGTCAAAAGTTTGAACACAACTACTATTAGAACCATAACATTGTGGGTTCGAGATGGAGGTTAAACGTACCCTGACTTGGAAACTGGTTTCTACTCACACCTTCCTCCACGGTGGCTGACCCATTGAAAAGGTCCTTGTTTACAGGTTCTGGCAAAAAAGAAACTAAGAAAACTATATATCTTTCTAATCGACGAAATCAATGAAATAACACACAGAACCAACACGGATCCATGTCTTCAATTACCAGGCACTGGGATGCTAAAAACTTCTTTGTGGAGATAATAGGCCTGCTCAAAGTGATACAGCAAAGACAAGTAGTACTTCCGTAAGACAAACGAAGCACTGGTAATTGTTGTTGGGAAATTGAAGGCCACAATCACTTCCTTCCATTTGCGATCTCTAATCACCTGTAACCAGTTTAAGAGATTTGAAGTTAAATAAAAGCCACAAAAAAAAAAAAAAAAAAAGGGGACTTTGGAATGCTCCAGGAAAAAAAGTTGGACCCTGTCATAAATCTGTAAACCAACTTTGGTCTGAGCTGAGAATACTACTAGACAAGTAGTTAAAGTCAACCTAGTTTACACCCAGCCGAGACCCCAGCCCCCATTCATCATAGCTTGTTTCCGAAAAAACAATGAGTGTAGCCTATACCGGGCACACTTGAAAATTATAACTAGTTAAATAGTGATCAACTGAGTTTAAGATCCATTTTTCAGGCAATAAGTTTAATTTCAGCTTCAAGAGTCTCATGTATAAACAATCATTAAGAAGAAAAATAAACTGAACAAACCTTGTCAAGTCCACCACGAGATGTGACTTCAACAAAAAGGAGATGTAGATCCAGAGATTTTCCTCCAACAGTAGGAATCCTACACAATGAGCATTAAGCACATGGTCATGGACTTTCTTTTTGTTTCTTTTCTGTACTCCAAACTAAACTTTCATTGACTCAATGTCTGGATTGCTTATTTTTCCATCATCCCCAACTCAAACTCAGGTAGAGGAGAGCCACCACAGGGGATGGAAATTTGATAATATTGTTCAAATAAACATCTTGAATCCCAAACACAATCCTAATTTTGC